AGGAGGAGGAGGAGGAGGAGGAGCAGGAGGGGGCGGAGATTCGAGGCCCTCGCGCTGCTGAAGCGCCTGTGCACGGGCCCTGCCGCGCACGGCGAGGCTGCGCACGGCGAGTCCGCCGCGCCCGCACCCGGCGGCGACACCGAGGCGCCCGTGCGCGGAAGGTGCTTTGAGGCTCCCGCCCGATCCTCCCCCATCGTCCCGTTTCCCCCTCCTCCCGCTTCCCGTCTCCTCCTCTTCCTCCTACTCCTCCTCCTGCTCCTCCTCCTTCTCCTCCTCCCTCCTCTTTCTCCTTCCCTCCGTCTCCCTCCTCCTCATCATCATCTTCCTCCTCCTCCTCCTCCTCCCTTCTCATCCTCCTCCTCCCTCCTCTTCCTCCTCCCCCTTCTCCTCCCTCCTCCTCCTCCTCTTCCGCCTTCTCCTCCTCATCCTTCATCTTCTCCTCCTCCGCCTTCTCCTGCTCATCCTCCTCTTCCTCAGAGGAGAACGGAGAGGAGGAGGAGGAGGAAGAAGAGGAGGAAGAAGAGGAGGAGGAGGGAGAAAGGGGATGTCAGCCGCCCTGAGACTGCTCTCTGGCTAGTTTGGCGGCTTCGAGGAGCGTCTTCTGTGGTAGGGTGTCTCTTCCTCCTCCGTTCCTCCTCCGTTCCTCCGCCTTCTCCTCCTCCCTCCTCCTCCTCCATCCTCATCCCTCCTCTTCTTCCTCCTTCGTCCTCCCTCCTCCCTCTTCCCCTCTCCGTCGCTTCATCCCTCCTCTGCTTCCTCCTCCCTCATCACTCCCTCCTCCCTCCTCCTCAAGCTCTCGAAGGGCCCAAGGCGAGTAGATCCTCATGTTTGCTCCCGGGCGTCATGGGTCCCGCCCCGCCGCCACAGCCTTGCGTGCTTGAGGCTATGCGCAGCTCCTGGTATGCTATCTTGAGGCGCGGGTCGGCGAAGGGCGGGGCGAACGCGTCAGAGTCAGGGGTCACTCAGTTTTGTAGTTTGGTGCTGACAGGGTGCTGTATTGCAAATTGTGTGGTTTAGTTTCAGGTAGGTTAGATTTCTTTCGCTTCCTGTGCACCTTCCTTCTTGTCCGTCTCGGGTGCGGGGGCCGTGGGGAAGCCAGGTTGTGCATTGACTCACCCGTCCGCTCTCGACGGTGTTTCATCATTGTGGTGTGTTGGATTGTTCGCAGATTGGTTCCTGGGTGGGGTACGCTTCGAGGAACTAGGGAGTGAATGGGTTGTCCACACCACCGTTATGCATACAGGTATTGTGCTGGTTTCTTCCCTTCAGCAGTGGTGAACTTCGCAGCCATGCTTGTATCTGGCGTTTTGAGTGACCTCCTGAGTGTGCATGGGCTGTTCGCGCTTTATGTTTGTGTGCGCTTGGTGCTGGCCTTCACAATGGCGAGGGTCGTGGTTATATTTAGGGTGTCATGCTCCGAATCGGGCCAATACTTTG